GATGTTGAAACAAGGCTAAGTGACTCAACTATGCATGAAAACATAGGAACTGGGGTGCAGAAAAATGGCACCAAATATTGATCTGATTTAGATTTCTCTTTTGTTCGCTCACTTTGCATTTTGTAAATTGATAAACAACCAAATATTGATCTGATTTAGATTTCTCTTTTGTTCGCTCACTTTGCATTTTGTAAATTGATAAACAATGTTGAAACAAGGCTAAGTGACTCAACTATGCATGAAAACATAGGAACTGGGGTGCAGAAAAATGGCAGCAGGTGCTCTGGACTGATGAGTCAAAATTTGAAATATTTGGCTATAGCAGGAGGCAGTTTGTTTGCCGAAGGGCTGGAGAACGGTACAATAATGTGTGTCTGCAAGCAACAATAAAGCATGGTGAAGGTTCCTTGCAAGTTTGGGGCTGCATTTCTGCAAATGGAGTTCGAGATTTGATCAGGATCTATGGTGTCCTCAATGCAGAGAAATACAGGCAGATACTTATCCATCATGCCATACCATCAGGGATGCGTGTGATTGGCCCCAAATTTATTCTGCAGCAGGACAACGAGCTCAAATATACAGCCAATATCATTAAGAACTATCTTCAGCGAAAAGAAGGAGTCCTGGAAGTGATGGTTTGGCCTCCACAGAGCCCTGATCTCAACATCATCGAGTCTGTCTGGGATTACATTAAGAGACAGAAGGATTTGAGGCAGCCTACATCCACAGGAGATCTGTGATTAGTTTTCCAAGATGTTTGGAACAACCTACCTGCCAAGTTCTTTCAAAAACTGTGTGCAAGTGTACCTAGAAGAACTGATGTTGTTTTGAAGGCAAAGGGTGGTCACACCAAATATTGATTTGATCAGGATTTCTCTTCTGTTTGCTCACTTTGCATTTCGTAAATTGATAAACATAAACAATCACAATATATATTTTTGAAAGCATTCTTACTTGACAGCATTTTTTCACACCTGCCTAAAACTTTTGCACAGTACTGTAGGTGTGCTAATCCTATGTCCTTTCAACAACACCCAACTTCTCACAAAAGAAAACAAAACAGTGTAAACATTTTGGCCCTAAATGTAGTCACCATGTTACCACCAAGTCCCTTCTAGCATTCAGAGACTGCATACAGGTAGTCCTCACTTAACGACCATTCATTCAGTGACCATTCAAAGTTATGGCAGCACTGAACAAATGATAGGTATCCCTGGTTCCTGAAGTTACAGCCAGTGCAGTGCTCTGCAGTCAGGTGATCAAAATTCAGGCACTTGGCAGCTCACCTCACTTACAACCGCAAGGGCACTTCAACTCCCCCCACCTGCCTATCTCCCCCCCCATCTCTGCCCTTTTGGCACCATCTCCAGCTGACCTTTGCCATCCTTTTCCTTCTGCCACTGACAAGGCATGCCCGGCCTGGCCCTTCGCAAGGCAGCTGCTGGCTGCATCAGGCCTTCTTCCCCAGGTCACATGCGGCCTTGTCCAAATCACATGCAGCCTTCTTGTGAGGCATTCGAAGGTGGAGCCCAGGGCAGCCCAGCAAGTGGAGTCCAGGGCAGTAGGGCAAGCAGAGTGTGGCCAAAAGGGCAGAGATGTGGGGGAGATAGGCAGGTGGGGGGAGTTGAAGAGGAGGGAGTTCCTTACCTTACCAGCGCTCGGGGTTGGGAGGGACCAAGCTGGGAATGGCTTGGATCGGAGTGGGTCCTTGCCTAACAACTGGTGGGGTTCAGTTAATGGTGACAATGGGGAGTGCTGGGATTGCCATCGCTAAGCAATGCGGTCACATGATGTCGTGCTTTACAACATTGCTTAGCGATGAAATTCTGATCCCAATTACTGTCGTTAACTGAGGACTACCTGTATATATAAAAATAAATGAAAATGATATAAAGTTTTTAAGCTTGCAAGCAGAAAGAACATGTACACATCATTCTTTGATATGGAGGTCAACAAATGAACTGGACTATCTCAGCAGGGTTTCTAGGCATCAAAGAAGATAATAATGACAAGGTGTTCTAAATATTAGATTTCAAAAGTTCCAATAATTTCTGGTCTAGTTATCTTACTCCCAAAACATAAGTCATGGTGTACAAGCACTTCTAATGAAGGACCAATTCTGAAATGGTTAAAAATAGAAAGAAATGGTGCACAACTATCAGCAGAGACCTGATGTATCAATATTACTTCAAAAGTAAGAGTATTGTTACAAACTGGATCTCAGCTTTACTGTCTTACCAGCATGCAAATATCCATGGGGAGAAACACCTTCCTTCTGCTAGCATGGTATGGAGTAGCCCTTAAACAGGTTACAATGCCTTGTGCCTTCCCTATGTGACTGGCAGCATGGTCTGCATGGATGTCCCTCACACCTGTAAGTGCAGAAGCGATAACTCTTAAGGATGCTTACTGAAATGCAGAGGCAATGAAATCTAGCCAGAACAGACAGGCAAGACATCATTTAAAGAACAATTAAAATGCAAACAATATACTTGGATTTCCCACATTTGTCAGAACTTCATAGTACTGGGCAGTGGGGGAGGGGAGACCTCCGCTTTCTTTCTGCCCACCTGTAATCTACGTCGTAACTGTGATAACTGCATCTATTAATATAGTTACACTGCAAGAAAATGCAATCACATAGGCAGGCCATGAGCAAAAACTGTTGGCACGTGCCCATGTGGCAAGAGCCAGAGTAATCAAGCAGGCACCTACCAAGTGTTTCTAGTGTGAGATAAAGGAGTGCACTCTGTGTATTTTCAGCATATGCCTCAAGTTCACTGATGTCCCGATATGCTCGGTCATCCAGATTCTTTTCCTATGTGTTTGAAAACAGGGGGTGGGGGAAGTATATATTGAAACCACCAGTCACTGAGGTTAACTTAAGAAATAGAAGAGTTTGTGTCACCTTTATTAAAAGAAAGCATCATCTTCTGGGCTAGGGACACATGTGGATCTGGGTCACTGTCTTGCTCCTTTTTTAAAAAAAGAGGAGAAAGATAGGGAAAGGAAAAGAACAGAGAGGGAAAGGGGTCGCTAAGCATAGAGAACAACAGAAGTCTTAATCCCTACTAGATGCATAAAATAATTTTGAGGAGATGACGCTTTACCTTTACAATTCCCTCTTCTGTATAGCTAAAAAGAACTCTGGTCTCCTTTGTATATAGTCATTTTAAATAGGGGAGCCTTGGAAATTGATCATGTTATACAGGTAACTGCATAGATCTGAAACAGTTGAAGTCTACTAGTGGAAAGGAATATTATTCCTAATTTGATAAAATAGCACCATGTAATGCTGCATGCTTATTCAAAGTCAATCACGTTGATTACCATGCCTCTAAGAAGCAAACCATATCTTCCACTGAGCTGTGTTATCAAACTGGTTTATCAGTTTATTTATTTGTTATTCATTATTACAAAATCAATAAACATTTCTCAATAGCCAGTTGCGTAATCGTTGGAGGAAGTGAAATCATCACTTTTATGAAGTTTCCTAAATATCAATCCAACACAGCCACTCTACATTTCATAGTATAATCTTGTATCTTTAAAAAAACTGAATTAAAATCACCAGGGGGAGAACAATAAAGTAAGAGTTATAATCGGCACTTGTTTTGATGTTTCAACATTCTGTTCATATTGCAGTTTATTCTATATAACCTTTATACAATATTAAAAAAATAAATTCCTAATGTAAGACACATTATAGTGTCTTACTGTACAATATACATTTCAGGACATTTTTCAGTCTTGTGAGGCATTTCCCCACACTGATTGCAATTGCAACTTTATCATGACATACAGAAATATTTTTTGAAAAAATGATAAAGAAAGACTACAGAATGCTGCTATATATGTGAATGAGTTTTATATTAACCATCATGGCTCATCTGAAACCATTCTGGAGACTGTTGTTTCAAAAAGACACTAGGTATTCTATTACAAAAATGTAGGCCTCAACACAGAACTCAATTACAAGGACTTATGGATGGCTGACCTTTATTCTAGTTATGCAAAAATACTGGGAGAGTGTACTTTTGTTTTTTGAAAAATTTTTAAAACTTACCCTTTGATCAATAATATTCATAAGCCATCTTTTGGTCAGGTTTTGCCTCTTAACAGCCTAAAATCAGAGGAATAGAGCATACTTATATAGAAAACAAGAAATCAAACCAAGGTAGGTAAGTCACCACTGCTGGCTTAAATTAAAAGCCTATTTAAGCTAACATTCCATTTTCAATAGTGAACAATCAGATGCTGCAGGAAACTGAAATGAAGATGATTTTGAAAGTAAATAAATAAATGCAGTGAAAGATATATTGCTATCCAGGTTTTGCTACTGAGCTGTGCAACACTTTCAACATGTGGAAATAAATCAGAATCACCTCTGTTTGAATCATTAAAATAGCTGGGTCTTATTTCAGGATCATGCAGCTGCACAGCTGAGAGCAGCTTCTGAATAGCCACACAAGCCTGCAAAAAGATATAGCTGCTTTAATAACTTGAAGTGAGGTGCTTTGTCTACACTTATACACAAACTCCCATGCACTACAAATTACTTCTTTTGAAAGATTTGCATAACCCTATTTTTCTGATCTCATATATACTTACATATACATACATACATACATAGTGTGTGTGTATTTTATTTTATACACACACACACACAAAATCAGTGGTAGGAAAAATGTATTCTCACATATCTTCTACTGTAACACAAACACATGAAAGGCATGTTTTCTCTACTGGAGAAAACAATGGGTGTAACTTGCTCATAAGGATCTTCCCATATATGAATGTGTGCCTCTGATACATGAGGAAAGCATATATGGTAGTGTGATTAATAACTCATAAAGCCGTAATCAGCCTGGCACCATGTCATTAGAAAAAGTGCCTTCTTCCCTGTAAATCTATCTGGACCCTAAGATCATCTTTAAAGGCTATTCTCTGAGTCAGCAAGTAGCTGTTTTGAACTGATCTCGAAAGCAAATAGTATCCTCTTAAATGTATGGTCATTAGCAATTAAATTGAACATCTACAATAATTTTTACAAGAGAGGGTTTTAATCCTATGAATCATTACAGATTTATGGATTATAAAGATCTTAAAAGTTAATGTGGTCAACTTTTACAACAATTGTTTTGCAATAAAGACTTGGATTTAAAATACCCAACATTTTCATCTCTAAAAAAAATGTCCCTTTTTTAAGGGACTTAACTGCCAAACAAGACTGGCTAGAACTGGAGCCTTGCAATCGACTCATAAAAAGCATCTGATGGTGCTAGTGATTTTAATGGGACAAGCATGCACCTTAGTTTTACAGCTGGGATACAAGTAAAATTGGGATGCAAAGGTGCAATTGGTGACTAAGTAAGTGGAGATACCAAGGTTTGTTCAGGAAAACTTTTATGTGAGACTCTGTTTTGCTGCTATGAAGCAACACAGGGAGTTCTAATCTAGATGGGGACCAAAGGACAGGCAACTTCCTCTGAAAAATCTGAAGGTCACAGTGGAAAAGATTAGGCAATCTATCACAACTGTTAGCATTATTTGTTTACTCTCCAAGGACAGAGTGCATCATTTGCATCAGAATGCCCAGCTGCCTCTCCCCATAGTTTCCTGTGAAGTTTCACACCCAACTATCTACCCTACAGCATGGAATATATTTTTCCATTTCCTGAATTAAATTTCTGCATTATCTTGACTTCAATCCTCTTCAGACCAGCTGATAAAAATTTACTAATATAACCACAAATATAAAGGCACTATGATTACAAACAACTTTAATGTAAAGGCTACATCATGCATGTGACCCCCCCCAACCCTTTTTGTTTTTTCTGCCCCACCCCATACCTAACATAGGCTAATATAATTTATAACTCACAGAACACCTCACCAAGCTCACTCGCTCTCAAAAAAAAAAACTAAGAAAAAATCAGAAAATTCTAGCTCTGTGTACTCTGCATCATTACCCTGCTCAGTGTGGCACTCAGCCACACAAAAAAATATTCAATGTAGCACTTAGCTTTATACCTTCCACAACTCTATTGCCACTGGTTGTTGTGGTGGATTATCCTGGTAAATGTCCTCCACAGCTTTCCTCCAAAACTCTATCCGCATCAGACCAATAGTCTTCTCGGTTACAGAGTCTTTAATCTGGAAGAGAAAAACAGTAGGAGTGATATTCTGATTACAATATTTTTTTATCACATCAACATATACTATTGTTTAAATGAAGGGAGGGGATCTGAAAAAAAGCAGCCAGCTGTGAATGCGTAGGATTCTTCCATGAATGAGGAATCCCACCACAAGGGAGAGCACAGATGCTCCACTCTTAGTTATTTGCAAAGAGCTAGAGTAGATCTCATTAGATAACAAAGATATAAGTAAAACAGAACATCTAGAAAAGCACAAGCTTTCAGATATTAAAAAGGGGTTGCAAAGAGTAATTTTAAAATTAATCATTTCAAAATTAAGAAGCTATCAACCAAAATAATGTAATTTATAAATGAAATCTATAAACCAAATTATCTTATTTTCTGCAAGGATCATGTTAACAAAGTTCCCAAGTCATCATTAGACTGATAACATCAACCTCTCTATTCTTTCAACTGTTCTTAATCCATTTCATTGTTAGCAGTAGATAAGCAAGAAAACATTTCAGGCTTATCTAACAAAAATAGTTATTCCTGATCTGTAATAAGGCAAATAGGCAATATGGACGCAAGCATTCTTGGATGTTGCTGCACTCAAGTTTGGTTTGGATATGCAACTTCTAAATTCAACTTTAAAATGAGTGTCAGATTTTGTCAGTGTTTCTGAAGAGTAAAGACTCAATGTCCTGGAGATACCAATTTTTTCCATAGTGACAATATTAAGATTGTTGGTTTATAACACTGCAGACAAAATATTTATTGGAACTGTTTCTAAGGAACAAGCAACTTCACACTAACATACCTGCTTAGCACAACATAACTTGGGACCAAAGTATTGAAGCAAAAGCCTTCTTTTTATATAATGATAATCCATAATGTGATTTTATTAATTTATCTTTTTCTTTTACAAGGCTTATAAGCCGTTCAGTCAAAGCCACTGAGTGGTGTACAGTTCTGACCTTTGTAGGTGGAGAGACGTGTTAAGTCTATAATGGCAAAAAATCAGGAATCTGGTACCACCTTTTCCAACTAACATATTTTATTAAAAGCCATATGCTTTTGTGAACTACAGCTCACTTCATCTTTGTAACTCAGATTTTAAAAAGTATTAATATTAACAATAAAACAACAACAATCCAGCAAATCCATTAAAAATGTAAAAAAAAGGGGAATACAATAATCTATGGTCCAAAGTTAGAACACTATTCCTCACCACAGGAAGCATCATAGCATTCTAATTCCCAAGGCCTCATGGAACAGATTGGACTATCACATGTACATGCTTTTAACAACTTTCTAAAACCAGGAAGGAAGGGGACATTCATTTGAATGTCCAATGACAAGCTATTTCAGAAGAGCAAGGCTGCAACTGAAAAGGACTATTTCTGCAGTCCTATTTCCAGCCCCCAAGTGGAGCAGCCCAGAATGAGCCTGACCTACTCAATCTTTATGGGAAGGCATACGTTAGAGAAGGTGGTCATGTAAGATCTGGATCATGAAGGGTAACAACTAGCACCTTGAAGTGCAACCAAAAGACAACTGCTAAACACTGCAACTGTCAAAACAAAGGATGTTCCAAGGTATGCTCCTAATTATGCAAGCCACTGCATTCTGGACTAGCTGTAGTTTCTGAATGTCCTTCAAGGGCAGCCCCATGTACAGCATGTTATGACAGTCCAATCAAGAGGATGACTAAATGATGAATGACTGTGAGTAAAGCCTTCTATTCTAGAAGGGGTCATAACTGGCACACAAGATGGAACTGTAAGAAAGCCCTCCTGGTCACAGGTGCTACCTGCTCATCAAGCAGGAACTGTGAGTCCAGGAGGACTCCCTGATTATTAGCTAGTTTTATGCAGGGGAAGGTGACCCCATCTAAACTAAAAACAGAATTTCCAGAATCAAATCAAATTTCTTATGTACCCAGAGCCACTCACTCTGGCTGGGATTATGCTTCAAACCTTCCCATTCAGAGCCTAACAATGTCCAGACATCTCAACAGCACTTCAGTGACATCACTTGCTCAGCCCACAGTCGAGATCTACATGAAACTGTTTGATAAGATCATCCATTCAGAGTCATGTATTAGTGATGATTTTTTACCCTGTTTGAATGGATGACCTTATCAAGCCGCTTCATATAAATATCAAATAGAAGTAGGAAGAGCATTTAGCTTGGTGGCACCCCACAGCTGAGGAGCATAGGGCTCAATTTGTCCCCCTCACCAGCACCAAGTGAAACTGCCCCTTTAGGAAAACCTTTGAAAAATAATGTCCCTCACTTCTAACCCTCAGAAATGGTCCAGAAGGATAACATGATCAGTGGTACTGAAGAGTGATGAGAGATCAAGCAGTAACACAGGGGTCATTCTCTCCCTATACTGGTCTTGTCAGAGATCACCCACAAGAGCAATCAATGTTATCCCCATGCCATATCCAGCCTTGAAAACTGACTGAAATAGGTCCAGATAATCCATTTCCTCCAGGGTCCTCTGCAGCTATAGCCACTTTCTCAATGACCTTTCCTAAAAAGGGAAGGGTAGAGATTGGTCAATACCTACCTAAAGGTATCAGGGTACATATTCTAAAGGGACAGTTGAGCATATCAGAAGCAAATAATGGAATCTCCCAGAGCAATTCATTAAAAATCAGTGTTATTTTCACTTCTTCATAAATTATCCATACAGAACAATACAGACAAGTATCTATTCACAATGACAGTATTCTAAAAAGATTATAAAGTGCCCCAAACAATTTATTTTGTACACCTTGTACACTTTTGTAAGGTCACAGAATGGCAGATTGTTTTGCATTTATGTTCAAAGTAATGCATACACATTAGGATTTATTTTTATTTCTTGTCCTGTTTTCATATGTAAGTAAACAGAATCTATATTAGCTGAGCCTGGTGCTGCTCAAGGAAAAAAACTTGGGATGCACAATAACTGACAGGAAAAAACACATACTTCATGTTTGGGATTTTCAGAGGTTTTTTTAAAAAAAAATATTTACACTGTATGGTATAACAGATATTTTAATACCTGCCTGAGCCAGTTCTACATTGAAGGCTTTTAGGGCAGATGTAGAGGCACGCGATTCTGCAGGCAACAGCAGTGCACAGAGGAAGCCTTCATAGTCCCGTTTT